GGTTTGACGGGGGCCTGGAGAGGCGGGGCGGCCCACCCACGACCAGCTCCACTATGCCGCTTTGCTGGAGGCTGCTGCAGATGCGGGGGCCCGCCCTTGGCGACGAGCAGGCTGGGGCGCTGCTGCCTCCACCCGTCCGCCGGGGCAGGATGTGTCGGATCGCCTCAGTCTTCTTCTGGGCAAAGCTCAGACCGGGACACAGGGAAATTGAGGAACCGAACCTTGTCCCTCATGTCTCGACTACAAGCATGGACATCACCGCCGTCGAGGGTGGTGATGGAGGAGGAGCCCACCGGCAGGTTTCTGGCAGTAAAAGGTGCCATCCATGACCTGGTGAGCTCGTCATGCACTTCTGGGAAGAAAGGCACTGGGGCGGGGCGCTGAGATCCAGCGTGAGCCACCCCGAGAAACCAGTCATCCAACCTCGAGGGCTCGGGACGCGGTGGAGGTTTCCACTCGAGCCCTACCCCCTCGGCAGTCCGGGAAAGCATAGCTGCCATCTCCGGATCTGATCCAGGCTTTGCCACCGTCCCGGAGGGCGGCAGCGCGGCTGAATCTTCATCGGACAGCTCTCCCTCCGATGCTAAGATCGACATCTGGTCGGGGGGATGTCCACTGGATACCGCTGGTACGCTCTTTAAAGAGGGCCCAGCGCGTTCCGTGGGTCGCTCCACTGGATCGGAGGTGCAAGAGGAGTGATGGTCCCCAGAGGGTTGGTTCCCTGCGGGGTTTGCCATCACTGTAACCCTCAAACCGCCCGCGCTACTGCTGGAAGTGGTTCTCGTCTGTCCGCCAGAATGACCCCCAGATTATGGCAACGGGACTCCGCCTCCTTGCGAGTAGCGGAGCCTGGTTCGCAGCTCTGAGATGGTCATGTTCCCGCAATGAGAACATGACTCATCCACGAAGGCCACCTCAGCGTGCTTGATGCCCAGACACGTGAGGCAGCGATCGTGAACATCACCCGGTGCCAGGTAACGACCGCACCCAGAAACGCACGGGTGAAATGGCATCCTTATAAGGACGATCCGTCGTCTTTATAAAGACGCACCCGTGTAGCTCTTTTAGAGAAATTTGCTCTTTACAAAATGCTCTTTTAGTGCTGAGGCGCACAGGGGAGATGGCCGCTTGCAACACGACAGGGCTAGTGCAGCCTGAAGTGCGCAACCCACTCGACACTGGAACGACCACCGCTGAAGCGCCTTCTCGCCAACACAAGAAGCTTCCGAGAGTGTGCTGAACTCGTAGTTCTCGAACAGACACAGTTGAGCAGAACGACATTGTCGCTCGGCTCCGAAACGAAAAACTGGTATGCATTGCAACTGCTGCCTTATTATACTCACGCTGTGATCAGCGGCAGCTGGATGCAATAATTGCATGCCAATGTGCATTGGCTCGTTTAGTTTACACTCGAAGTAGATTGGTCTATCGAAGCGATATCCCAATTTGTCGGTCACCGACGTGACTCGGAGTGACCGACTGAAAGGGAACTATTATCAATAACTGGATACAAAGAGATCTCAGTTTTTGGAAGAGTTTTATTGGCTAAAATGGAATTACTCTCCAGGTTTGTTTATCCAGCCTTCTCCTTAGCTATCCCACCTCACTTACTAAAAGAATGTAATATTGCATTATTTAACTTTATTTGGAAAAATAAGCATCACTATATTAACAAAAATGATTTAGTTCACAGTTAAGGGGGATTAAATGCTATTGACTTAGAAATAATGAACAGTGTTTTAAAAACTCAATAGTTAAGATAATTTCTTTGTAATACAAACTGCTTATAGTTTACTGTCTCTTCTTCAATATTTGGGAAAGTAGGTGGCTTAGAATTTTTGATTAGATGTGACTTTGATTTGTCCAAATTACCTCTTAAATTGTCTGCATTCCATCAACAAGTTCTCCTGTGTTGGAAATTAGCACTTTCTCACAACTTTAGTCCACACAAAACTTGTATTTGGAACAATCGTTTTATTTTGCACCATAACAAATCTTTATTTTATGAAAACTGGTTTCAACATAACATTTTTTCCCTATTGGACATGATGGACAACTATGGTAATGATCTCAATTACAATGATTTTTTGTTTAAAACATGGATTTGTATGTCATCCTAAAGAGTTTTACAAAGCTGTAAATGCCATACCAAAAAACATGGTATTATTAGTAAAAGGGATTCTTTCGCATTACTCTGTGACATTCTCTCTCCCATCTCCTTGTCTAGGTGAATTGTTTATTAGAGATCATAAATGTAACAACAAATATATTAGAAGTGTCTTCATTGATAAACTTCATCCAAATAGAATTAAACGATATTATGTTTTCAAATATTTTAACCCCAAAGAGGTGAAGGAAATGAGAATATATTATCTTACCTTTCCAAGTCTCCCTGAAGTGAAAGAACTTCATTTTAAAATAATAAATGACATATACCCATCTAAAGAATTTCTCAAATCAAAATTTGATATTGGAGAAAACTCTTGTCAATTCTGTGAAATTGATATTGAAACCACTGAACATATTTTTTTAAATTGTAATTACTCAAAGTTGTTTTGTACTCAACTGTGCAGTAAAATGTCATGTATAATTACATGTGTAAATCCCCTTGAATACAAACAAATTAAGTTTGGTGTGCTTAAGAAAGATTGTTCACAACATTACTTGGTTAACAACCTTTTTGAAGTTGCTAAATACTTAATTCATAAATGCAGATTTCTGAAAAACCCTCCATCCTTTCCTCACTTTTCTAATGACCTTAATTTTTGCTACTTATCTTGATGCCCTTTTAAATGAAAAAGCTACTACAGTTGCCAGTTTCTTCAGTGAGATAAGTGCCCTATAACTCATTGCTACCCCTTTTCTATAAATGCTTTTACTATTATTTTTATTTTAATTTATTTAATTATTATTATAATTTTTATTTTGTCTATGGATCATAACATTTCTTACATATTTCTGCTCATTTGAAATCAGATATAAAGTGGCACTGTATTTGAATGCATGAGTGCTGTGACTTTTCTCAAAATTGTGAGATAAAAAGTTGCAATTGTCAAATTCTGACAGGAAGAATGTCAGCTCACAATTCTGGCATTTTCTTGCAACTGTGGGTTTATACAATACAATTCTGAGGAAAGGGGGGAAAAAAAGAATTGAGAATTATCAGGGTATCAGACCTTTTTAATACCACCTTTCGTGAAATTTAAGACCAAACCTGTGATGAAAATACACAATATATTACATGCATGTGTGATATTTAATGCATTCTGATTCTGATTTAATGTTAAAAGAAAACAAAATATCCTCCTGAGACATAGCATTTTGTTTTATCTTCCGTAACATAGTTGAGAATCATCTTCATACAAAGTTTGGTTAACGAAAATCCTGAAACCTAAAAATTGATTGGTGAATGAAAAAAAAAACTCAATTGATTTGATTTTTCTTTTCATGTCATTTTATTTTATTAATTTTTTGAACAAAAATAAAATGTCCCCTACAGTGTAATGTAATGACAATAAAAGCCTAATTTCACAAAACTTCCCCCACCTGGTTATCAGGATGATATCCTCAATGTCAAAAATGCTATTATTACCATACAATGAAATTTTCATATCAGCAGACAATATCCCATACAAAATATCCTCACAAAAGCACTGCATCACCAAGACTTTTGGTGGCATAAACATAAGAAGCTATATTTTCATCAGTGCTCTATCAGCTTTTACGTACTTAAATCTTCTTATTTTTTATATTTACTCCAGGATGTTATTTACCTTAATAAAGGCCAATATTTTATAACCTTGTTAAATGTTTGCATCATCTGGCTGTTACCAATCAAATTAAATTTACAGTGCAAAATTACAACTGCAATAAATCTTTAATAGGCCTATACAAAAAAGATATGCTGAGGAAAAAATCATACTTTTAAATACACTAAACTGCCAGTAGACAATGGGAATTCACTTATTTATTTAACTGATTGGTTGGTTCAAAACGCTGTACTGAAACAATGCGGAGTGTTTAATAATAATAATAATAATAAGTTTAAATAAGTAAACAATATGCAATATACAATGACATACTTTAAAGTCTTACCTAAGACTGCTATTACCAGTACATACAATATTTGCTAGACTACCAAATCAAAAACACATAGTCTTAGACTTAATGCGTATATCTTTCCCATTACTCCATTATGAATTGCTGAAAGATTATTAACTTTTAAATTCTAAAGACATAATCAGATGAACACTTAAGTAGCAAATGTAAAGCATAGAACACAATATTACAGTAACACTACAGCAGGAGTTTTCAAACCTGTCCTGGAGGACCCCCTGCCCTGCACATTTTGTATGTCTCCGTCATCTAACACACCCGATTCAACTCATCTTGTTAGTAGAGACTGCAATAACTAAATTGGGTGTCTGATAAGGGATACATACAAATTGTGCAGGGCTGGGGGTCCTCCAGGACAGGTTTGAAAACCACTACACAACAGTATAGGGAACATATTCTCTATTAACTATAAGTTTTGCCTTAATTAACTCCTAATTTACTGCTTATTAATAGTTGGTAAGGTAGTTTTTGTAGCATTTAAATTTAGGTATTGGGTATGATTTAGGGATGTAGAATAAGGTCATGCAGATACTAATGAACAACCAATATGCTAGTAATATGCAAGGTAATAAGCAACTAGTTAAAAGTGAGAGCTGAACTCTAAAATAAAATGTTACCAATATTAACGTTACCTAGAAACCTAGAAAGTAGAAACAGATTAACATCACAGTACCTTTGTTGTAAATGGAGACTTTTATTGCGTCATCCGTGATCATCTTCAAGCAGGCAGTTTGGGTTCTGGAGGGGAGTTGCGCAAGATGGCGCTCTGAACGGTTGTCTTTCCCTGAACGGCTTTAGATTGCTCATTTTTAAGTTAAGTGCCACTTTTCAAATTTGATTTTGGCTTAATTTGCTAAGTTCTTGTACAGTGTGAACTCGGGAAAATGTCAAAGTCCCAAAGGAAAAGGAAAGACTTGCTAGATCAAGCTGTTAGAAGTTTGGCAGCATCCGATGGTGTGATGCCAAGCTCCGAGCTTATGATATCACCTGAAGGTAGCAATTTACTGATTGACATTTGTCATGATTATTCCACTCATGTAACTCGATCACTTTCCTCTGCTGCTGAAGATTTTCCATCCTCGCCTGTGACTCCAAGTAAGCCTCCATCCAGTAAACGTGGAAAAACTGAAAAATCTGGTGACGATATAATATCCACTCTTTCTGACCTGATTAACAACAGGGCGGATGGTATGGAGAAACTGATCAACAACAACGCTATGAGAATAGAAGGTCTAAAAAAGACTGTTGATTTCGTTTGTGCAGAGGTAAAAGACTTGAAGATAAAGATGACTAATGCAGAGAAATGCATTGATGAAGAAAAACGTCGTCGCAGCATGCTCGAGAACCGCATACGGGAGCTGGAAGGGTACCACAGGAGATGGAACCTGAAGTTGTATGGAGTCCCTGAGAAAGCAGATCAGAACGTACGAGCGGAAGTTATTAATATTTGCCAGGAGGTGCTACCTGAGGGAAAGATCAAGCTTCCAGATGTGATCGATACTGTTCATCACTTAGGTTCAAAAATGCTCACTGACAAGCCGAGGCCTGTAATTCTTCAATTCACCAGCAGAGTGCACCGTGATGCAGTTTGGAAGGCTGCTAGAAACAACTCGTACCCGCGTGATAAGAAACTATGCTTTGCTGAAGACTTCTGTGAGGAAGACAGAGAAAGGAGAAAAAAGCTGTGGCCTGCAAATAAAAGTGCGAGGGATGCAGGGAAAAAGGCATACTATGTCAGAGCCCGAGCATTTGTTGAAGGCAAAGAAATCATTCTGCCACCTTGGAAGTTTGTCGTCCTGAGGCTGGCTAGTCCAGGATCTTTTGTTGCAGATCGGCCCATGGTTTTTGTGCCTTAATATCCTTTTAAGTATAGTTCAAAACCTTTTGTCTGGAACTTGTCAAGATGTTATATGATCAATTGGTTCACTTAACAATGACTCTTGTTCTAAGTGCAGAGTTTGGGGTGTTCCCTTTTTTGCCCTAAGCTTTTGACGTAAGGTCATTGCCTTTTTGTTTCTACAGTTCTTTTATACATTTATTTGTTTTTGACGTTGTTGTCTTTGTTTTCATTAAATGTCAGGGGTATACGGCATACTGTGAAAAGGAAAGCTTTATTTTTATTTGCGAAACAACTGAAGCCTGATTTTTGTTTTTTCCAAGAATCCCATTCATCTGTTAATGATGTAAAATTCTGGAGATCACAATGGGGAAATGACCTTTGGTTTTCCCATGGAAACTGAACGCTCTGCAGGAGTTACTACTCTAAGAAATGCATTTAAAGGGAATATATTACACTCGGACTGTGATTCATATGGACATTTTTTTGTGTCATGTCATTGATCTTAATTCAACTTTTATTATTATGGCCAATATTTATTGATTTAATTCAAGGTCTGAGAATGCTAGTTTTCTTGAGTTTATAGAAAGCAGACTGCTATACTGGCTGAAAAAAATCCTAAACTCTCTGCTTGTTATAGGTGGGGATTTCAATATTGCAATTGACAGTGCTCTTGATAAATGGTCTCCCGGCCGACCCTCATCACATAATTTAAAATTTAAACAATTCATGGAGAGACTTGATTTGATTGATGTCTGGAGGTCCAAATTCCTTAATACTAAAGCATTTACCTGGAGCAACAAGGCTGCTTCTCTTTTCTCTCGTATAGACTTTTGGCTGATCTCTAATTCTATCAACATTCCCAGTACTTTAGTTGATATTCTCCCAACACCCCTAACTGACCATAAGGCTATCTATATAAAGATTAAGCTTTCTGTAAGCACTTTAAATTCTATTAAACCATCATATTGGAAGTTAAACAGCTCTCTATTATCTCATAATACTGTTAAGCTTAAAATGAATTATTTCATTAACCATTACTGGAATAAAGCAGTAAGGGAACGCTCTTTTAGTAATAATTGGGAGTTACTAAAATTTGATATTGGTAAATTTATGAGAAGCTATGGGAGTGCACTAGCCAAGCTTAGGAAAGCTGAGGAAGAGGCAGTAATTAGTGAAATTGCTGTTGTTACTCAGAGGCCCCCTGAAAATCTCTCAAATGTTGAAACTGCTTTGCTTTCTAAATTACAAAACCAGCTTGATGATATTTACAAATGTAAAGCTGAAGGCGCCTTTGTGCGATCTAGGAGGAGATGGATGGAGCAAGGCGAACAAAATTCTGCATACTTCTTCAGGTTAGAAAAATCCTAATGCCAGTCATAATAGCATGACTAAACTCAGTGCTGATGGCATCATAACAGATAACCCCAAGACAATTTCTAATTATTGCTATAAGTTTTATAAGTTGTTATATTCCTCTAGGTTCGATGAGGATGACACATCCTCATTTTTAGACTCAATAGTTGACCTGAATACCATAGAGGTAGATGACAAAAATCGGTGTGATGAACCAGTTTCCCTTAAAGAAATCATTGATTCTATTAATCATCTTAAAATCAACAAATCTCCGGGGAATGATGATATTACTGCAGCATTTTATAAGGCCTTCTCTGAACCCTTAGCTCCATTTCTTACAGAAGTTTATGCAGAGAGTATTCTGAGAACATCTCTTCCTCCTAGCTTGACACAGGGTGTGATTACTCTGATTCCAAAACCCAAAAAGGATCCACTTCTTATTGAAAATTGGCGTCCAATTTGTTTACTTAACACTGATTACAAGATTCTAGCTCAAATTTTTGCCCAAAGATTACAGAAAGTGATGAGCTATTTAGTTGATGAATCTCAATCTGGATTTATAAAAAATAGGCACATTTCTAATAACATCAGATTAATTTTAGACATCCTTGACTATTCTGATTTGATTTCAGAGGAAAGTTTTATTTTATTTTTAGACTTCTACGAGGCATTTGACACCGTGGAGCATGCTTTTATTTTCCGTTGCCTTCGAAAATTTGTAAAAAGTACCTTGAAAGGGATTCTTATTGCAGAAAGAGAAATAAAGATCAGCCAATTAGCAGATGACACTGCTCTTTTTTTAAGAGATGCCTCTTGGATCCCTATTGCAATCTGCACTGTTGAAAGATTTTCTAAAGCTTCTGGTCTTTTTTTTTTTATTTGTCTAAATGTGAACTACTTTCAATTAAAGAGTGCAACCTTTCTACAATTAATAATATTCCAATTAAAGATAAAGATCATGGTAAAGATCTTATTTAGGTATCTCTATATGTAAAAATCAAAATAATAGATGTGTATTCAATTTTTCCCCAATTATTGAGAAAACACAAAGAAAATTTAATTTATGGCTGCAGAGAGACTTATCTCTGAGGGGAAGAATATTACTTGCCAAAGGGGAGGGAATCTCCAGATTATCATACACTGCTCAGTCTCTCCATGTTGATAACAACATTCTTAAAAGTATTGACAAAATGTTATTTAATTTCATATGGAAAAATGGCATACATT